CGATATGTATTGTTTATTTTTAGACACAAGAATATTCATATAAAGTGAACAAGAGTTTTATTAAACCAAGCAAAGAAGGCACTTTATTGGATGACCTTTTAAAAGGAACCAAATCACTAGCTAGTAAGGTAAAATAGACATTATTTACTTTTAGTCATTGGCTGCCCACTCAAATGCCACCATAGATCCTGCAATAGTAGAATGAGGTGAATGTGCAAGACAGAATTAATGTACTCAATATACATGTGTACAACAGGGATAACCTGACTTTGATTCCCTGTATATGAGAATTTACTTTAAGTTGCAGGAAATTAGAAGTATAATTGAGATACATGTATTTACAAATAAATTGAGTTACTAGCCATTATTAGTTTGTGTTTGGTTCAAAACAGTGTGCATTAATTTGCTGCACTTCCAACTCATTTTACTACAGACAGCTGATGATGGTTACTATAGACAGATGATTTTTATACACAGGTAACTCATGCATTATACCTTGGAACGGTCTAAAAGTGGTCACTATAGGCAGGTGGTTTTCATACACAGATAGCTCATGCATTATACCTTGGAACTGCCTAAAAGTGGTCACTATAGGCAGGTGGTCTTTATACACAGGTAATCATGCATTATGCATTATACCTTGGAACTGCCTAAAAGTGTTCACCAATGGCAGGTGGTCTTTATACACAGGTAACTCATGAATTATACCTTGGAACTGCCTAAATGTGGTCACTATAGGCAGGTGGTTTTTATACACAGATAGCTCATGCATTATACCTTGGAACTGCTCGAAAGTGGTCACTATACGCAGGTGATCTTTATACACAGGTAACTCATGAATTATACCTTGGAACTGCCTAAAAGTGGTCACCATAGGCAGGTGATCTTTATACACAGGTAACTCATGAATTATATCTTGGAACTGCCTAAATGTGGTCACTATAGGCAGGTGGTTTTTATACACAGGTAACTCATGCATTATCCCTTGGAATTGCTTGAAAGTGGTCACTATAGGTAGATGGTCTTTATACACAGGTAACTCATGCATTATAGCTTGGAAATGACAAAAAGTGGTCACTATAGCCAGGTGATCTTTATACACAGGTAACTCATGAATTATATCTTGGAACTGCCTAAATGTGGTCACTATAGGCAGGTGGTTTTTATACACAGGTAACTCATGCATTATCCCTTGGAACTGCTCGAAAGTGGTCACTATACGCAGGTGATCTTTATACACAGGTAACTCATGCATTATACCTTGGAACTGCCTAAAAGTGGTCATTATAGGCAGGTGGTCTTTATACACAGGTAACTCATGAATTATACCTTGGGACTGCCTAAATGTGGTCACTACAGGCAGGTGGTTTTTATACACAGATAGCTCATGCATTATACCTTGGAACTGCTCGAAAGTGGTCACTATAGGCAGGTGGTCTTTATACACAGGTAACTCGTGCATTATCCCTTGGAATTGCTTGAAAGTGGTCACTATAGGTAGATGGTCTTTATACACAGGTAACTCATGCATTATGCCTTGGAAATGACAAAAAGTGGTCACTATATGCAGGTGATCTTTATACACAGATAGCTCATGCATTATACCTTGGAACTGCCTAAAAGTGGTCATTATTGGCAGGTGGTCTTTATACACAGGTAACTCATGCATTATGCATTATACCTTGGAACTGCCTAAAAGTGGTCACTATAGGCAGGTAGTCTTTATACACAGGTAACTCATGCATTATACCTTGGAATTGCCTACATGTGGTCACCATAGGCAGATGGTCTTTATACACAGGTAACTCATGCATTATACCTTGGAACTGCCTAAAAGTGGTCACTATAGGCAGGTGGTCTTTATACACAGGTAACTCATGCATTATACATTGGGACTGCCTGAAA